TATATATATATATATATATATATATATATATATATATATATATATAGGGAAGAGATCACATACAAACACTTCTCCCCATACAAAATGCAAATCAATTTCGTGCGTCCGATTTAGGCAAATCAATGGCCGAAACCATTTTCCTCACTGTTACCTTTCGTGAGCCGCGAAGGAGGAGACCAGGTATTTTAAAACCCGTTTAGTAATTAAAGGATAAAGATGTCATTTGATTTTTTTTAAATGGAACCGCCATAATACGGAAAAGGAAGGAAATCCCTCTTGCGCATAATCCCCACTTAGATTCGAACCGCCCATGTATAGCAAATCAGAAAAAGGAAAGATGCAGAGGTTTTTTAATGCTCCAACTAGCAAATTAAAGGTCTGAGAAGCTGGAAAATTTCCTTGAGAGAGGCGAAAGCTTCAGCGTAGACGAGGAACGTCGTTTGTGAAGAATAACGACCGGTGAAATTCCATTTGCGCAAGTGGCTTCAGTTCAAGAAGAACATGCTTTGCGACAAGCCGCTTTGGCGTGCGAAGAAGGTATATGTGTTTTTTAGATTAATCTGTTTGCATGGAGAATTTTGTATGCTAGATGCACAAAGAGGGATGTGTGGATGCATTTGTGTTTTTGAATTTGAGGGAAAAGTGCATTTTGCACCGAGAATGTTTGTTTGTGTGTTCTTGGTTGGTGAGTGTTACTGATTAGATTAAGTATTGTGAAAAATAGATTACATAAAGGTGCAATAGATTAGAGTAATGTTAGTATCAATGTTGGTTTTTGAGTTCGTGTTTGGTGAGTGAGTATCTTGATTATACAAAATTTTGTTATTGGTGCAAAAGGGATTAGCTATTGGTGCAAAAGGGATTAGCTATTGGTGCAATTTAATTGATATGGTATGCAGACTAAGATTCATGGCGTGTAGTGGAGGCAACCTAAAAGTAATCAATGGTGCTAGTGAAGATTATATGTGTATTGTTTGGGGCAAAATAGCTTAGCTAAAGGTGCAATTGACTTGTGTTTGAGGAAGTTGTGTATGCAGGTTAAAATGCATATAAAAAAAATGGTTGGGTGTGGATGAAAAAACTTAGAAATTACTTATATTCAATTTTTATGGTGCAAAAGACATTACGTAAAGCTGCAATTGAACTGTGAAATAAATGCAGACTGGGTTTGTTTTCAAATGCTTATTCATTTTTTGGGTCATGGAATTAATATGCAGAGGAAGATTGGTTGTTATGCAATGAGAGACGTTAGGTGAATTTGGAATTGTTTTTAGGTGCATATTTTGTTGATAAACATTCATGAGATTTCTGATATCTTAGTGAAGTACTTAAGATTCATGAGATTTTGAATATGTTCATGATTGCATTATGTGTGGCATATCATTAATGGTATTGTTTTTTTTTCAACAAGGAGTTAACATGCACATGAATGTATTTTGGTGTGCATATGAATGACAGTGTACTAACTAATCTAACTAACTAAGTAGGAACTGGACAAAACCACCAAACAGTTCTACAAAAGAGAAAGAAAGCAGCACCATGTGGGAGTAGTATTGCAAAGAAAAAGAGGGTGATTAATAAGGGGAAACAAGTGCAAGTGCAGCCTGATGGTTAGTAAATTTATACTTTCATTGTTATATTTGTTTGAACTACTGAAAGTGAGATACGATTGAAATTTTAGGAGACAAGATTACTGGGCTCATGCAGTTCCGTTCTAAGCTTGAGAAACAAAAGACTTTGAGCATGTAGTGACAGGAAATTAGGAGCAAATCAAGACATGACTTCCAAGGTTAAAAATAGTAAATATTCATTGTATTGAATATTTTATGGTGTATGAATGACAAAAAATTATCCTCAAATGCAGGTGCATTTATAGAAGACAATTTAGGACTTGAGTTGATGGAAAAAGAAGTAGAGAGAAGGTTGAAAAAGGAAAATGAAAAAGTTGTTGCATCCAAGAAATCCAGGAGCATATCAAGAGGCCAATTGAAAGGTTTGATTACAACCAGGTTTCTTTCGTAGATGTGAACTGTTAAGGGGTGCAAATACATATAATATGTAGTGCATATGATTAAGGGGTGCAAACAGATTATTAAAATGGTGTGCTAATTCATTTAATACCATGCTCTTTTATGGTGCAAAAGACATTACGTAAAGCTGCAATTGAACTGTGAAATAAATGCAGACTGGGTTTGTTTTCAAATGCTTATTCATTTTTTGGGTCATGGAATTAATATGCAGATGAAGACTGGGTTAGGTGCATCTGGAATTGCTTATAGGTGCATATATTGTTGGTAAACATGCATGTGATTTCTGATATCTTAGTGAAGTACTTAAGATGCAGTTGAGTGTAGTGGAATATGTATCATGTCTTTGAATTAAGCAATGGGTGTATTTGAATATGTTCATGAGTGCATTATGTGTGGCATATCATTAATGGTTGTTTTTTCAACAAGGGGTTAAGATGCACATGAATGTATTTTGGTGTGCATATGAATGACACTGTACTAACTAATCTAACTACCTGAGTAGGAACTGGATTTACATGAGTTTATTTTATTTGGATTTATGCTTGTAGTTAATTTAATTTAAATTGCATAAGATCCTATATTTCGAAATGGTAATTACTTTTGCATGGGATACGTTTTTTCCATGTACATAATACAAAGTAATTTATAATGAAGCTTTGTAAATGCATGGTGCATTTGACATCATTCTCGTGTGCATTTGACAATATATTCATTCATTGATGGTTTTAATTACTTACTCAACAAATGTCATTACTTTTGTTTAAAAAAACCACTTGACAATATGTGACATTCTGTCATTAAATTTGTGTAAAAACTTAGCTATGATTTTTTAAAAAAAATGTCTGCCCAATTTATTGTTTAAAAAATTGTTAGAAAAGAAATGAAGACTGCACCAATGATCATAACTTCAAAACACGCATGTGTGACTCATACAATTTCTAAATTTCTAAACTTCAAGACTGCACAATAGTGTAGAAGTACAGGGTGCATATAAGTGAATACGAATATGCATACAAATATTGTGTATAAAGCAGCAAAGATATTAACGAGGTGGATACTTTATAAAAAAAGATTCATCAAAAATAATTTGTCGACAGTTTACATCCACTGGGGAAAAAAACAAAGATAATCCATTAAGCAATAAAAACCATGATCTTAAACAATACTAGCTATTTATTCAACGGACAATTCCAGCTATCATGATGGCACATCTCATTGCATGAACGGCAAAGTCTCTTGGGACGTTTAGATTCTTGAATAGAAACCTCTTTGGAAGACTTGATCCTATGTCCTGAACCTTTATTCTTCGCTTGTTGTGGAGGATGAACTGTGACGACAGAAGGCGCAGCGGAACCATAAAAGGACTCAAATACCGACTGCTTCGTTGATGACTGTGCAACCCCACTCTGAAGGGAAAGAAGAATCTGTTTTTGATCTTTAATAATGCTTGAAAACTGCTGCAAGTAACTTGGGTTATTTTCAACGAGAGCCATGCATGCATATATATCAGACCATAAAGAGTTCACACCCATCTTATTCTCCTCTAGCGTGATGCATTGCTGAAATACAGAATCAGAGATTTCGGACAATGGTTTGATTAAACCCTTCTTACACCAACGGGTATTAATAAAATGTTCTAGAATCTGTTCAACTTTCGAGTCCTTTAAGACAAGAAAGATGTGACGACAAACCAAACCAATCCGCTGGAAGAATTTGCAACTGCACTCCGCCTTCATATCAGACATTTGAAAATGAACTTTAAACTCCAAATTCCTTTCGTCACAAATCCGATAGTCAAAAACACCATCACGGCCATCCACATGTATCACACGACATGCAAAACACGCTGAAGATAATTCCGTTTGCAGGTCATAGAAAACGGAACGCGTGAAAACATCTGTGGCTGCCTTTTCCATTGCTAAAGGAGTCTTCAGATCTGGAATGTATGCCTCCGAATCAGAATTCAATTTGTCATGATTATGCCTTTGTGCATCCATTGCACTCTCAAACTGCATGAAAAATTCAACTAAACTAAAGTGTGGGTTAGTAAATTCCCGAAAGAAGGAATTCTCACTCTCAGAGCGCGAGGTGGTACGAAGCAAACCGGCCATAAAGGTATCTCTAAAATAAGAGGGAATCCACCATCTACGCAACTCAAACATGTGACAAAACCAATCATCCGCTGTCAAGCCATACTCTTCCATGAGTGATGTCCACTTATCTTCAAACTGGGTTGTGTCAAGATAATGGCTCCACACAATTGAATTCAGTGATGACATAAAAGCTTCATTATTACTTAAGATCGGACCTACCTTTTGTGCCACTTTTGACATAATGTGCCACATACAGTACCGATGTTTGGAAGCTGAAAATACCTTCTCAATTGCAATGCGCATAGCTGGGTCTTGGTCTGTAATAATGCATGCTGGTTCACGTCCCATTGCATGCATGAAGCGTGTGAAAAGCCAAGTGTAGGAATCGACATCCTCCTTGGCTAACAAACCGGCGCCAAACGTAATGCACTTTCTGTGATTGTCAACGCCTGTGAAAGGACCAAATACCATATTGTACCTGCCAATATAACAAATACGATGTACAAATCAGAATCCAAATAATAGGTGCATAATGCAGTTATGACAGATGCAAAGAACATATGGTCAAGGTGCACATAATTTAAATAATTAAATAAAATTGAAACAATTAGTCACGAATTGAAGTAAACAAACCTATATGTTCCATACGTAGCATCAAATGAAACAACATCACCAAACAGTGCATAGTTCTTGCGACAAATGGGATCCGCCCAAAACAATCTTGTGAGCTGGTCATCTTCATCAACATCATAATCAAAGAAAAAAGCAGAGCACACTTCTTGTTTCCTGAATAACTTATCGATGACCATTTGGGCATCGACTCCAGATATGTAGGCCATAAGGTCGCGCTTAAAGTTCTTAAAATCCACAGCAGTCGCGCCAATGCTAGAATAACCCCCTACAGTCTTTTTATACAATCTATATGATTTCTTTGTACCAATATTTGCTCTGAAACAATTGAGAACAAACTTTTGATGACCGAGATCTAAATTCCTATTAACTCTTAGGAATTGTTTTGACTGTTCAGAACACATGGAATGATTGTGACGCTCCTCAAACGCAAATACAGAGAAACCATCATTACCAGCAAATTTTAGAGTTAAAAGTGCTTTGCATCCAACTCTATTTGACACACGTTTTCTATTCTGCTTACTACCTTTGGATGTAGAAGCACCATTATTGACGACAGCGGGGACAGTGGGGACAGCGGGGACATCGGGGACAACGGGGACATCGGGGACAACGGGGACAACGGGAACAGTGGGGACAACAGTACTACGACCATTATTCTTATACCCCGCTCTACTACATATCAAATACTTCAACATAGGATGACCATCCTTGGCCTTCGATAATGTATGCGAACGAACCGTGAAACCCACTTCAGCTGCATACGCTTTGTAAAAATCAATGTCGGCTTGTAGATCAGGAAAGAGCATGCCAACAAAGGGTTTCTTATCTGGTTGACAGTCAGGAGTCCAATACTTTGTACAACCGGGAGAGATTTCTAAATTACATTTCACACCTATATAAAGAAAAATAGAAAACCAATTAAAAATTTGGAGATTAAAAAATAAAAATAAAAACAGATAACAATAAACCTCTTTAAAATTCGAACTGCACCATGATTAAAGTATTCTTGCATTTAAGCTACGAAGTGTGACTAGGAGAAAAATATGAAAAAATCAAACTATGTTTGAAAGCAAGCAATGTAAACGTACTACAGTGAATTCTCGTGCATGCAAAACGCAAGCCATAAACAACAACCATAAATTTCACAGAAATATAATACAACAGTAGAATTGTTAATTATTTTATTCATTTTAAATAAATAGCACTTCATCATCTCCAACTTAGACGTTAAATGTTAATTCGGATTTTCTTTAGTCAAACAAAGTTCGTTGGCAATTTGTTGGTATTAAAAATGTTTTAAGATTTTTTTTGTATTCAAACAAAGATAATAGAACCGAACCCGATTCGGATTCTACCGCGTTTGATGACATCCTGACCTTTCAACGACACAAGAATGGAAGCAGCAGTGAAGCGCAGGTCTGAGTCGAGCAGGAACGTGGTGTTGATCGCAAATATGGAAACAGAGTATTAAGGGAAGAGAGCTGGGACGTGATTGTATTTCCATGTTTAGACCGATATGCGATGCCCCAAAACACCCTCACGTACGCGGCTGAAATTAAAACCTGCGCACAAAAAAAGGCTTAGATGGACGGTTATGATCACTTTGTATTTTGTAAATTAAGTTGGCTTTGTATATGATCCCAAATCTATATATCTATATATATATATATATATATATAGAGAGAGAGAGAGAGAGAGAGAGAGTAATGATCCTGTAGATTTTGGGGCACTTCCCGGTAGAACTTTATGAAAAAAAATTTTGAGCATGTTCCTAATCAAGGCTAGTTTGTCCATACCAAATTTCAGCTAAAAGTTTGATTGGGAAGGCATTCAAATCATTTTTTGAAGTTGACTGCGTCAAAATATACTTAAAAAACCGCGGTCATCTTCAAAAAAATATTTGAATGCCTTCCAGATCGAATTTTAAGCTGAAATTTGGTATGGACAAACTAGACTTGATGGGGAACATTCTTAAAAAATTCATCAAAAAATTCCACCGGGTAGGTCCCCAAATGTGGATGTTCGGACGGAGCCTCCCGTCCGAACGTGGGGACCTGAACATTTCTCTCTCTCTCTCTCTATATATATATATATATATATATATAGGGGAAAGATCAAGTACAAAGTGTGCTTATTGTGCAAATATTTGTACGATGCACCTTGACGTTATTTGCATTGCATATTGAGGTTTAAAGTGTTCCACATTATAAAGTCATAAAAATAACAGTTGCACATTAAGGTGCAACGAGTTGCACCCTAAAACGTTGGGTTTTATTACAAAAATGCCACCTTACCTTTATGTCCTTTGGATCAACTCATCGGACGGTCAAGATGAGTTTGTACTTTGTAAATTAAGAAGGCTTTGTATTTGATCTCTAATTCTCTATTATATATAGTTTGTACTTTCAAAAAACTTATAGTAATCTAATGGCTAAGATCTGTTCTTATTTCTCTCCTAAGATTATATTTATATCTATGTGCACAACTACATGGATAAAGTGTAGGAATCTAGTCAAAATTTAAGATTGTGTATTATATTATCATGTTTGTTAGAGACTAAAGTTATTATTTTGAATATATTTGGAAAAAGTTATTTGATGGAAAATGTGCACTAGCACCGTTAGCTACATGAATTGCACATTTATTAATATTTTGATGCATGCATGCCATTATATTAATAGTGCATCATTTATTGAAAGGTTAAAAAAACTTACGTGAGTAAGATGACAACTTTTTTATTAAAAGGAGTAAAATAATTTTGGTGAATCTTAAAATGGTAACTTACGTAATAGTGATTAATATTTCCTCATCGTAACAGCAACACGTGCATTTCAAGATTACATATAAGCCCTTAGTCTAACAAATCACTCCAAATTAATTTAATCGGTTCAATCAATGTCCTTGATTCTCGGATTTAACCATTGACTGAATAATCAAATCCGGCCTTTAGATCAAGAATCTCAATGGTGATTATTTATTCTTATTTCTCTCCTAGAGCTTCATTCTCACCGGAACCACACCCTATATATATATGTGTGTGTGTGTGTGTGTGTGTGTGTGTGTGTGTGTGTGTATGTGTGTGTGTGTGTGTGTATATATATATATATATATAGGAAAAATTGAAAATAATAATCCCAACTATTGCCGGTCCGCTGAAAATAATCCCAACTATTTATTATTTTTGTATAATCCCAACTATATAGACTATCCGCCAATAATGGTCCATAACCATATATTACCTCTATAAAAAGTGAATTTTAAATAGAAATTAAGCGTAAAAATTAAAAGTTGAGATTATTTATAGGGATTACTTGTTATATCTCATCCCATCCACTTTAGAAACTTACATAATTTATTCATAGGGACCATTATTGGCGGAAGGTCCCTAAAGTTGGGATTATTCTGCAATAATCAATAGTTGGGATTATTATGAGCGGACCGCCAATAGTTGGGATTATTACTATCAATTTTTCCTATATATATATATATATATATAGGGGAAAGATCAAGTACAAAGTGTGCTTATTGTGCAAATATTTGTACGATGCACCTTGACGTTATTTTCATTGCATATTGAGGTTCAAAGTGTTACACATTATAAAGTCATAAAAATAACAGTTGCACATTAAGGTGCAACGAGTTGCACCCTAAAAAGTTGGGTTTTATTACAAAAATGCCACCTTGCCTTTATGTCCTTTGGATCAACTCATCGGACGGTCAAGATGAGTTTGTACTTTGTAAATTAAGAAGGCTTTGTATTTGATCTCTATTCTATATATATATATATACATATATATATATATATATATATATATATATATATATATATATATATATATAGGAGGGTTCTAGTGAGAACCCCTCTTAAAATGAGAACCCGTGAGAACCTGTAGAACCGGAGGTATTTTTGGCTGAATTTTTTGTGTATGTTACTCATCGAGTCTAGTTCATTCATACCAAATTTGAGCAAAAAAAATCAATCAGGAAGGTCGTCAAATGATGTTTGAAAGAAAACTGTGTTTTATATGTATATTCCGGACCAATTTTCTTTCAAAAATCATTTGATGACCTTCCCGATTGAATTTTTTGCTCAAATTTGGTATGGATGAACTAGACTCAATGAGGAACATACACAACAAATTTCAGCCAAAAATATCACCGTTATCAGGGGTTCTCACGGATTCTCACATTAAGCACCGTTCTCATTTGATCTTTATTCTATATATATATATATATTATATATATGTGTGTGTGTGTGTGTATATATATATATATATGTATATGTATATTTATATATATATGTGTGTGTGTGTGTGTGTGTGTGTGTGTGTGTGTGTGTGTGTGTGTGTGTGTGTATATATATATAAAGGAAGGGTTCTAGTGAGAACCTCTCCTAAAATGAGAACTCTTTATAATGAGAACTTTTAATCTCATCCTTTCATTTATTGCAATCATGGGTGATGATTCACATGGGGTCATATTCATAATTATCACAATTTCAAATGGGGTTCTTGTGCAATTAATTCACCTAGTAATTATTAGCCATTGATGATAAAAATTAATGATGGAGATTAGAGGTTCTCATTTTAAAATGAGTTCTCATTTTAAAAGGGGTTCTCACTAGAACCCTCCTTTATATATATATATATATATATATATATATATATATATATATATATATATTTATATATAATAGAGATCAAATACAAAGTCTTCTTAATTTACAAAGTACAAACTCATCTTGACCGTCCGATGAGTTGATCCAAAGGACATAAAGGCAAGGTGGCATTTTTGTAATAAAACCTAACTTTTTAGGGTGCAACTCATTGCACCTTAATGTGCAACTGTTATTTTTATGAATTTATAATGTGCAACACTTTGAATCTGAATATGCAATGCAAATAACGTCAAGGTGCATCGTACACATATTTGCACAATAAGCACACTTTGTACTTGATCTTTCCCCTATATATATATATATATATATATATTGTTGGGTGTGTTTTGGAAAATAAAGAAAAATTAATTAAAATAAATTAATTAAAATGACTAAAGAAAAACAAGAAATGAGATGGAGCAGAATTTGTCAAAGCTCGTCCTACGCACGATGTCCTTAAAACGTATTTGTTGCCTCCAACGGTGCTAGGAGCGTTGCAACAATAGTTTCCCAGGATACGATGACAACGAACTAGTGTTTGAGCACACAAACAAGAGTTCCAACGAACGAGAATAAAAACTGAACACTCAGGAATTTTTCAAAATGCTGGAGGTGTTTTTGAGCTCTGAAAACGTGAGGAATGTGTATTTTCGTGTAAGAACGTGTGTTGTTGCAAACCACCTGCCAGCCATTATATAGGAGGATTTGTTGTGTGAAAATAGTGAATTAATGGACCTGCACATTGGACATCAATGACCAGTCCGTTGGGCATTGAATTGTCCATGAACTGATGCGCGGTCATCAGTTCCCCGTATCTCTTGACAGATGGAATTTTGGACGACATTCGTGTCTGCAGGTCGCCCGCGCACGCAAGTCGCGGTTTTTCTTCTCCGAATCGGGATTTGATTTGCACCCCCCCCCCCCCCCCCCCCGCGCGTGAGAGAGCCTTTACCCTTAAGAATTTTAACTCCTCAAGGGGGGAGATCCTTTATAAAGGGTTCCAAATCCCTTGGGTTTTCCGGTGTGGGAAATTAACACTAGAAACTCATCCTTTTTCCCAGTTTTTCCATTCTAACGGGTAAACTTCGAGAATCAATTTCTCATTCACCCGTTATCCGTTTTGAGCGTACCATATATCGAATTGTAGCCCTACGTAAGGACAATCCGAAACCACTTTGACCCGTTCCGAATCAGAAGTGGACCCCACTCAAAAAATTGCCCCAAAATAGCCATTTAATGCAATTTTTCACACATTTTTCCAACAATCCCCCACATGAATGAAAATTGATTTTCGAGACTTAAAAAAGACACGAAGAGGAGGACACGTGGTGTTCACCGGATGATCCTTGCATACGGAGAGGTAGGCTTAATCCTTTGAACCTTCCGCCGTAAAGACACGTTTATTTACTGGTTGTCTAGTAGACTCGATGTCTTTGAACTATACTGCCATCGTGTAAACATTGACTTATCTTTACACAAGAACCTTCCAACTTTGTTCCGTTCTCATGGGTGTGCCCGTTTTGGCCATGGGTCACCGTCCTGGTTCTGCAAGAGTTTCTAAAGAACTGAGCCTGTACAGTTCTCCTTTGAAGCGGCCCTCTTCTCTCTCACATAGGTGATTCTTTCACGAGTATCCCGCATACTCTTCCAATATTATCGAGTAGATCAACATTTTAGAATCATTAAAGCAAACGTTTTTGCTAACCTCGTGCGGCAGTCATTGTTTCAACGAGGAGTGGGTAGGAGTCTGGGACCCCCACAGTGACCATCCTTCGCTCTATAATTTAGTTGTCCCATTTGAACCTAGGACCAACTAGGTTGGGTATCCACTATAGAACTTTTCAATTCACGGGCTTTAATTCCATTCCTCGTGTCAACTTCTCCA